TCTTTCTTTTTAGAGAAAGAGAGACTGAGCAGGAGAGAAGGACAGAGAGGGAGAGAGAAAGAGAGAGAGAAAGAGAATGAGAATGAATCTAAAGCAGGCTCCATGCTCAGCACGGAGTCGGACATGGGGCTTGATATCACAACCGTGAGATCATGACCTCAGCTGAAATCAAGGGTCGGACACTTAGCCAACTGAGCCACCCAGGTGCCCCGAAAATTTTTAAGCTTATAGAAAAGCAGAAGGAATTTTACAGTGAAAACCCATATACCATGACCTAGATTCTTTCTTGATCACATATTTGTCCACCTAGTCATTCTTCTATATTTTATATTTTAATATTTGTATTTCTTTTATCTGAAAATATTGATTCCAGTGAAATTAATGTAATTATTTATTTCCTATATATACTTACATATATAAATATATGCTCACCCATTCACACACACACATGCATATAATATTTTAAAATAACAAATCCTGCATTACCACCATGAACAAACCTACTGGTCCTAGACTATTTTTATTTGTTGTCCTCAGGATGTATGAAGTTCTTTTTTTAAGATTTTATTTTGAATACAGTGCATGCAACGTGGGGCCCAAACTCATAACCCCGAGATCAAGAGTCACATGCTCCACTGACTGAGCCAGCCAGGTGCTCCTAAAGTTCTATATTTCAAGTCACTTGAAATAATTCTCTCAATTTATGCTTCTAACTTAGTATAGAGCAGGACTTTGCATACTTTTTCTGTAAGGGAGCAGACAGTAAATATTTTGGGCTTTGTCTCTGTTACAACTACTCAACTCTGCTGCTGTAGCTTGAAAGCAAGATAACATTTAAGTTAACGGACATGACTGTGCTCCAATAAAACTTTATTTATGGAAATAGGTGGTGGGCCACATTTGACCTGCAGATAGTGGTTTGACAACTTTGGACATAAAGTACAGCATTATTAGGTTTGTTTGTGTTTTATTTTTAGGAATTATTTTGAAAAAATTTTCATTTAATTGTTTTTTTAACTTGAAAAACATAGACAGGGGCCCCAAATGAAAACTCTAGAACTAGATCAGTTTATCCCTAGCTCCTCCCCACTGTTTTCTTCTCTTTGTAGACAACTCATTTTACTTTTTACCTTGTTCTTTCACTGCCTTTTTGAAAATAAAAACAAATAATGTATTTTATATTCCCTCCCTTTCTTACACAAAAGGTAGCATATGATAGACATTCTTTTATACCTTACTTTTAAATTTACTATGTCTTGGAGGTCACTACATAGTGGTTCATGGAAGTCTTCCTCTTTTACAAGCATGCCATTATATGGATATACCACTGTTTACTTCATCAGTTCTCTATTAATGGACATTTGGGTTGTCTCAGGTTAATACAAGAAGCACTACAATGAATAAACTTGTGTATATGTCATTTTGCATTTTTGCCTATGTATTTATCTGTAGTATAGATTCCTAAAAAGCAGGATTGCTGGGCCAAACGTTAAATATGTACGTAATTTTGCTAGATATTGCCAAATTGCTCTCTTCAGGAATGTACCATTTTAGTTTCTAAGAGCAATGTATGAGAGTGTGTGATTTCCCAAAACCTTGCCACATAATGTGTTATAAAACTTTTGGATTTTAGCCAGTTGATAAATGGGAAGTGCTATTTCAGTACAGTTTTAATTTACTTTTCTGTTATGAGCAAGGTTGATCATATTTTCATATTTTAGAAGTCATTTGCATTTCTTTTTCTATAAACTATTCATATCTTTTGCTCATACAGTGTTTCATGCTCTGTTCACTTCAGAATATATTTAATGAGTATGTCATTAAATAATGTTCCGTGTCACTTTTTTTTTAATGTACTCTCCACACCCAATGTGGGCTCAGACTCACAACCCCAAGATCAAGAGTCAGATGCTCTACTGACTGAGCCAGGCAGGCGTTCCTCAACATTACTTGATGGCTGCAAATATTCCATTATTCATTCATTCAACAACTACTTATTATGAGCAGCTACTACATATCAGACAGGCCTTGTTCTGGCAAGGAGAATATAGCAGTGAACAAAACGAGCAACATCCCTGTCCTTAAGCAGCTTTTTTTCTAGTTTATAGAGAGACAATAAACAATAAAATAAATATTATACATACATATAGTATGTCAGATATAGGTAGACTGCAATTTATTCATCCAATCTGTTATTGGATATGTATTTCTCATTTTACGCATTATAAGTAATGCACTGTTGAGCACTCTTTTAGTTATTCCATTTTAATCCTTTCTAATTTGCTTCTTTAAAAAAATTTTTTTTAACGGTTTACTTATTTATTTTTAAGAGAGAGAGCCCAAGTGGGATATGGGCAGAGAGAGAGGGAGAGAGAGAGAATACCAAGCAGGCTCTGTGCTGTCAGTGCAAATCCCAACAGGGAGCTTGAACTCACGAACTGTGAGATCATGACCTGAGCGGAAATCAAGAGTTGGTCACTTAACTGCCTGGGCCACCCAGGTGCCCCATTTCTAATTTGCCTCTTAGAAGGTATATTAACTTTCATTCTGAAGTGTTACTGCTTGTTTTCATTTACATTTTCAACATTTTATTACGGTTTTATAACTATAACCTTCATTTTTGCATTGTGGTAAAAAAAATTTTTTTTAATGTTTTATTTACTTTTGAGAGAGAGAGAGTGCAAGTTGGGGGTAGTGCAGAGAGAGAGGTCCAAACCAGGCTCTGCGCTGACAGTAGTGAGCTTGATGTGGGGCTTGAACCCACGAACCATGAGATCATGACCTGAGCTGAAATCGGATGCTCAACCAACTGAGCCCCCCAGGTGCCCCTAAAATTTTGTTTAATGTTTACTTATTTATTTTGAGAGAGAGAGTGCGTGTGCGAGCAGGGGAGGGGCAGGAAGGGAGAGACTGAGCCCTGCATTGTGTTGTTGTTGTTGTTGTTGTTTTTAAGTATTTATTTATTTTTGAGAGAAAGAGAGGGAGAGAAGGGCAGAGAGAGAATCCCAAACAGGCTCCACATTATCAGCCTGGAGCCCGATTCGGGGCTTGAACTCATGAGCCATGAGATCATAACCTGAGCCAAAATCAAGAGTTGGACATTTAGCCGATTGAGCCACCCAGGTGCCTCTGCATTGTGTTTTTAATAGTTGTCCTGGGAAAATTGCAATGTATGTTCTTATTTTTTCACAATCTGCTTATAATTAATATTGTACTGCTTCACATAACACTTAAGGACCTTGCAACTATCAGGATCATTTTATATCTCCCCCTCCCCCACTTGGGATTTACGCTACAGTGTTCATGTTTATTATATCTGCATAAGTTATAAATCCATAATAAAACTTTATAAATTTTGCTTTAGAGTGGCACCTGGCTGGCTCAGTCAGTAGAATGTGCAACTCTTGATCTCAGGGTTGTAAGTTTAAGCCCCACATTGGGTGTAGAGATTGCTTAAAAAAAAAAAAATCTTAAAATAAATTTTGCTTTAGACACATATATATATATCTCTAAGGAAATTGAGGAAAAAATTAGTCTTTTATATTTATCCACATATTTACCATTTCTGATGCTCTTCATTCCTTTCTGAAGTTCCCAGTTTCCATCTAGTATTATTTTCCTTCAGCTTGAAGAATTCCCTTTATCATTTGTCTGCTGGAAGTCAGTTCTCTTGATTTTCATTGATCTAAATATATTTACTTTCATTTTTGAAGATTATTTTTACTAGATATAGAATTCCGAGTTGACATTTTTTTTCTTCTGTCATACTTTAAAGATGTTTTTCTACCATCTTTTTAGCAGTCACTGTTTGTGGTAAGTTCACGGTCATTCACAGCATCATCCCTTATATATAGCGCGTCATATTTTTCTGGCTGCTTCCAAGACTTTCTCTTTCTTTCTAGTTTTAACAATTGACTATACTATGCATATACGTGATTTTCTTTTTACTTATCCTGGCTCTTAGAGGGTACACATGGGCTGGGGATACAAATTTGGGAGTGGTTAGCTTATAGATGGTTTTTAAAGACATGGGCCTGGGGAAGATCCTTGAAGACAGCACAGAATTCAGGATAAGCCCCAGGGAATGTAAAGACCTGGTAGAGGAGGAGCTGGCAGAGGAGGCACTGGAAGGATGGCCACTGAGGTGTCCCAGAAGCTGAGAGAGGAGAGTGTTTCCGTGCACCTGGGTGGCTCAGTCAGTAAAGTGTCAGACTTCAGCTCAGGTCATGATCTCGCAGTTCCTGAGTTCGAGCCCCACTTTGGGCTCTCTGCTGTCAGCACAGAACCTGCTTCGGATCCTCTGTCCTTCTCTCTTTTTGCCCCTCCCCCACGTTCTCTCTCTCGCTCTCAAAAATAGATAAACATTTTTTAAAAAGAGAAGAGCATTTCAGGGAGGGAGTTGTTAACTATGTCAGCTACTGCTGTGAGCATGTGAAGCACTCCTTCATCAGTAGAGGGCAGAAAAGACCATTTTAAGAAGGGTCGGGAAGCATTGAAAATAGATATTTTGGGTGTAGAGGTGATTGAATGAATCCCTCTGCACCTTGGGCCTGTATTTTGTGGTCTACCTCACTAGAGTGTAAGTATCATTAAGGGAAGGGACTTTGTTTTATTCAGTGGTTTCTCTCTGGCACTTAGAACAGTTTGAATGACTCTACTGTGGTAACTATTCAGCCTTTTATTTTTCTGTTCTGCCTACAACTTAAGCCCACTAAGACGATAGACATGGCCTCTGCCCTCAGAACACACGGGGAATAGAAACCAACTAGATGAACGATGTTAGGTACCCTGTTCTAACTACATCCCAAAGTGCTGTGGGTAGGCAGAAAATGTAGTCTTGAATTCTGCCTAGGCTTGGGCAGCACAACTTGGGGAGGCTTTCCAGGGACAATGATATCTGAGCCAGGCCCCAGGGGATGAGCTGGGAGAGGGCAAGGCATTCCACATAGAGTACAGTTTGTTTCCCAGGTAGATAATCTTTTTTTTTTTTTCTTCAAAAGCATCGGATTCAGGTTCACTACAGATCACAAAACATGATGTCCTGTTGGCTACTTTAAGCTCCAACCTGTCTGCTTTGGAGGACAAATTGCTGAAGGATCCTCACTGGAAGAAACTGAAACTCCTAAGGGATGAAATTGCTAATAAGGCAGAATGGCCACAAAACTCTGTGGATGTCACCTGGAGTTTTACCTCTCAAACTTTGTTGTTGCTGTTGTGCTTGAAGGAAACCATGATCCACCTTGCAGCTGACTTCAGTCCAGGTAAACCCAGCCTGAGGACTCCGGAAGCCGCTCCTGCCCTGAGCCCAGATACACTTAGCATCTCACAGCAGAAGACTGTCCAGTCCGTGTTGCAGTTCGTAGTCACCTTCGGTGTCTGCCCGTATCTCGTGCCTGGTGTGGGAGTCCCTTTGAGATGCAGGACCGCGTTTGGTGCCGTTGTTCAGGATGTGGTGTGTCTGAGCGCTCCTCCCGATGCGACCCGGAGACTCTACACCAGCTGCAGGATTCTTCTGAACATTGCGCATCACACTTCTCTGGGGAGCTTGATTTTCTGCCGCCATTTTGGGGATATTGCAGCAGGTCTGTGTCAGCTGGGATTCTGCCCCACCAAGAGAAAACCGCTACCTGAGGAAGAGGTAAGCACAGATTGAGTGCGTGTCTTCGTGTCTGTGTGAATATTTGTGTGTGTGGTTATAAAAGACAACTCTTAGTTCTTTGGAAAAGGGCTGTTGGGAAGGTCTAGAATTCCTCTTGAATGCCAAAGCATATCTGTGGATAAATGAATCTTTTACAGGGCTGGGGCTTCATTTATTAGATGCCAGTCCTTAGCATGCCTAGACAGTCCATATAGCCTCTTTCTTCTTGTCATTTTGCAACAACGACTGTAGGCTATTTGTTTGAGCTTCTGTTTCCTTTTAATTAAAAATTTTTTCAATATTTATTTTTGAGAGCGGGGGGAGGGGCAGAGAGAGAAGGAGACACTGAATTTGAAACAGGCTCCAGGCTCTGGCTGTCAGCACAGAGCCCAGGGCGAGGCTCAAACCCACGGACTGTGAGATCATGACCTGAACCGAATTCAGATGCTTAACCGACTGAGCCACCCGGGCACCCCTCTTCTGTCTCCTTTTTAATAAAATGTGTATAATAATACCTGCCTTGGAAGGTGGTTGTGAGGATTAAGGATAATGTGTATAAAGTACCGAACCCAATCCCCAGTAGTGCTCATCAAAAAGTAATTACTACTAATATCGGTATTAAACTATTCATCTCTCCTTCATTAAGTCTTGGGAAGATTAAATGAAATGAAATATGTAAAGCACAGGGTATGCTGTATAATTCAAACGCTGTGTGTTGTTATTATTAGCTGTTAGGGGGACGTGGCTGTTTTTTGCTGACATAGTAAGGATTTGAGTACCTGGACTGTAAAGGTGCCGTGGAGGTTACAGAAGCATAAGACATTAACGGAGGAGACAGGACTCCTAAGTGCGACATAGCAGGGATCACTGCTCTCCCATGAGAGGACCATCAACACAGGAGCCTTGCCAGAAGAAGCTGTTGAGATACAAATGTATTAAAAGTCAGCGCGGCTCACGTGTGCAGTAATTTGTTAGCGCTGCCGCCAGATTCACAATGCCTGCCCACCTCATTTCTCTCTGTGTCACCCTTCAAACTTATTTCTTTTCTTTTTAAAAAATTTTTTTATCATGTATTTATTTATTTATTTTTAAAAAAATTTTTTTTTCAACATTTATTTATTTTTTGGGACAGAGAGAGACAGAGCATGAACGGGTGAGGAGCAGAGACAGAGGGAGACACAGAATCAGAAACAGGCTCCAGGCTCTGAGCCATCAGCCCAGAGCCCGACGCGGGGCTCGAACTCACGGACCGCGAGATCGTGACCTGGCTGAAGTTGGATGCTTAACCGACTGCGCCACCCAGGCGCCCCTCATGTATTTATTTTTGAGAGACAGAAGCAGAGCAGGAGCAGGGGAGGGGCAGAGAGAGAGGGAGACAGAGAATCTGAAGCAGGCTCCAGGCTCCGAGCTGTCAGTACAGGGCCTGATGCGGGGCCTCAACTCACAAGCTATGAGAACATGACCTGAGCCGAAATTGGAAGCTCAACAGACTCGGCCACCCAGGTACCCCTATTTTTTTTTTTTTTTAAGTTTATTTATTTATTTTGAGAGAAAGAGCTTGTGTGAGCAGGGGAGGGGCAGAGAGAGAGAGAGAGAATCTGCACTGACAGTGCAGAGCCTGATGCGGGGCTTGAACTTATGAGCTGTGAGATCATGACCTGAGCTGAAACCAAGAGTCAGATGCTTAACCGACTGAGCCACCCAGATGCCCCCAAACTTGTTTCTTTTCTGTTTGTTCGCTTCTCTGTTCTCTCTCCTGCATATGTTCATAAACATTTGTCTAAAAGCTGTATCATCTGAGCAGTGACCTGAAATTATGAGCTTCCCTGGTGGCTTCCTGTTATGGAGAGCAGTGTGCTGTGCTCTTAGTACAGGGTATGAGTGATAGACGTTGCCATCCGTGCCTGCTGCCTCTACTTCTCTGAGGGGGCTCTGGGCTGCGAGGTCTTGTTACCACTACTGGGGCTAAGCAGTGCCCCGGAGTGTCGAGCAGGAGGGAGAAAAGGAAAGCACCCGGAAAGGACCAAGTAGGAAGGCACAAGAGGTTGACAGAAGGGGAAACACAGTGGTGCGTTATGAAGCTGGGCAAGTCCCAGCCCTAGGAGCTGCTCTAAGCAGTGCCCGTGCTTCAGATTGCTCCCTGGCAATGGGCACGACCCTGACTGCTTCACTGAGTTACCCAAAGGGGACAGCTGGGTTCAAGGGGACCCAACAAATAGAACCCCTCTTTGCTGACCAACTTCTGAACGAATTAAAAGACCGTTAATGGAGTCAGTGAAATGAAAACTCAAATTGTCACCGCTATTGCTCCTAAGTGCAAAGGTGGGGATATAGCCTTTTTTTTAATACTTTTTTTAAATTTTATTTCTTTAAAAAAAATTTTTTTTGGGGGGCGCCTGGGTGGCGCAGTCGGTTAAGCGTCCGACTTCAGCCAGGTCACGATCTCGCGGTCCGTGAGTTCGAGCCCCGCGTCGGGCTCTAGGCTGATGGCTCAGAGCCTGGAGCCTGTTTCCGATTCTGTGTCTCCCTCTCTCTCTGCCCCTCCCCCGTTCATGCTCTGTCTCTCTCTGTCCCAAAAATAAATAAACGTTGAAAAACAAATTTAAAAAAAAATATATTTTTTTTAATATTTGTTTATTTTTGAGACAGAGAACACAGAGCATCAGAAGGGGAGGGGCAGAGAGAGAGGGAGACACAGAATCCGAAGCAGGCTCCAGGCTCTGAGCTGTCAGCACAGAGCCCGACGCAGGGCTCGAAGTCATAGACTGTGAGATCATGACCTGAGCCGAAGTCGGACCCTCAACCAACTGAGCCACCCAGGCTCCCCTTTTTTTTTTTTTTATTTTAGAGGGAGAGAGAGAGAGCAAGCACGCAAGCCAGGAAGAGGGGCAGAGGGAGAGAGAGAGAATCTTAAGCAAGCTCCCACACTCAGTGTGGAGCCTGACGTGGGGTTCAAGCTCACGACCCTGAGATCGTGATCTGATTAAGAGTCAGACTCTCAACCGACTGAGCCACCCAGGTGCTCCAGGGATATGGCTTAGTGTTGGAGATAGTTGGGCTTTCTAACAGTGCATTCCAAAGTTAGACACACTTCTTTCTCACCCAATTGTAAGGACTGCTGGAGGACGGCAGCACCTTCTGCCCTATGGCAAGGCTATGCCTCTGTAAAATGTCCAGCAAGGGGGAGCGGGGCAGAATGTGTACTTACTCCCAAGACACAGAAGAGGAACAAGCTAAGTGGTACATGCCAACACTCACCAATAAGTAAGTTTTTCCAAACTCACCAATAAGTTAGGTGCCCAAGATCTCCTGCCCAGAGGTGAGTGAGGGGATGGAGAGAGGGCCAGGAGAGTTTCAGTATTGTAACTTCCTCCATGTGGAAGGGAGTCAAGAGGGGAAAGAAGCCTACCCTCCTCCCCTCTCCTCGGTGTTTTTGTACAGTATTGTAAAGCATTACTTTCTATTGCCTGCTAAAGCTCAGTTCGTGTTTCCTTTAGGTTTTAACGGAAGAGGAAAGAACCTCTTCTAGGGAGGCCTTGAGAGACATCTTGGATCAAGTGTATCAACCCTTAGCAGTCCGAGAATTACTTATCCTCCAGGGAGGACCACCCCAGGTATTCAGACTTGGGGACTCTTGTGGGTGAATCGTTAATGGTAATGTGCAGAATGTTGTCTTCTCTTGGGCAATGCACTAATCTAGTTGAGTCTTATTTCATTTTCTAGAGCATTAAGTGATTTTTGTAAAACTAAGTTACCCTAACCCTTAGGGTAATTTTTTTTTGAGAGAGTGAGTGTGCGTGTGCATGAGTGGTACACATGAGCACATGAGTGGTGGAGGGTGGAGTAGAGAAAGAGGGAGGGAGAGAGAGAGAATCTTAAGCAGGCTCCACGCCCAGCACAGAGCCCATCGTGGGACCCTGAGAACATGACGTGAGCTGACATCAAGAGCCAGAAGCTTAACTGACTGTGCCCCAATTTTTTTTTAAGATTCCACTTTCGTGTAATCTTTATACCCAACATGGGGCTTGAACCTACAACCCCGAGATCAAGAGTCACATGCTGTAACTGAGCCAGCCAGGTACTCTGCCCCTTGGGATAATTTGTAAGCATTTTTCTGTTAATGGAATGATGGCCACTCTTCCCAGGAATGTGGTCATTTTATTTATTTATTTATTTATTTATTTATTTATTTATTTATGAAAAATTGTTTTTGACTGGAATATGTCAATTTTATTTAACATATATTTTATACATTCTGAAACTGGAACTCTTTTTTTTTTCCCCAAAAAAATTTTTTTTTGTTTTTTTAAGTAGGCTTCATGCCCAGTGCAGAGCATGCCCAGCGCAGAGCCTAATGTGGGGTTCAAACCCATGACCCCAAAACCAAGACCTGAGCCAAGATCAAGAGTTGGATGTTTAACTGACTGAGCCACCCAGGAACCCTAGAACTCTTTTTTTTTTTTTTTGGGGGGGGCTGTTTGACAGTACGGTCTTCTGGTAGAAGTATTTTGACATCTTATTCTTTGTTTATTTTTTATTTATTTTTAATTTTTTTTACAGTTTCTTTTGAGAGAGAGATAGAGAGAGTAGGAGCAGAGGAGGGGCAGAGAGAGAAGGAGAGAGATGATCCCAGGCAGGCTCCTTACCGTCAGTATGAAGCCCGATGTGGGGCTCAAACTCACGAATTGCGAGATCATGACCTGAGCTGAAGCCAAGAGTCAGACGCTTAACCAACTGAGCCACCCAGGCGCCCCTGACATCTTATTCTTTGAATGGAATATCTGTAGTCAAGAAATTAAAATTAGGGCTATTATTGGGACTAATTTTACCTCCTTTGTTTGAAAAACATAATAGTATATATCCTGCTAGGCATAAGATAGTTCCTTTTTTTCCTTAAAAATAATTATTTTCTGAAATGTCTTAATCTGATAATGTAGATGGAGTAACCATTTAGCAATACGTTTAGTTTTGGATGTAGGTGAGTAAAGAGTGAGGAGCCAAGGGAATTAGTGGTAGGTCAGGAACTAGCTGAAGCTGGGTACAAAGATACCTCTTTGATGAAGTCATTTTCATCTCATCCCTAGAATGTTACTGCCACCTCCTGTTGGGCCCCTCTGGCCTCACGCTCTGCTTCTCTGCATGACTCCATAGTTTGCCAGATAAAACCAAATGCATTATAAGAGCGTGGCAAAAAGCCAAGGCTCTGGTGGTCAGCCTACTGGGATTCAACCCCAGCATGCAGTTGTGTGAATTAGTGAATGTTTCCATCCCTCGGTTTCCTTACCGATTGGATAGTAACTCCTTGCAAGTCTCTTTTGAGATTATGTAGCAGGTATTTAACATAGCACCTGGCAAATCATAACCCTCTCAATAAGTGGTAATTATTAGTCCTCCTTAAATAAAAGAGGACAGGCTAGTTAGGGTTAAATGTGTCTGTCACTAATTTTTATGTTCACATAGTTCATTGCCATGGTTGACAGCAACATAGTTGACATTCTAGACCCAAAACAAGACCCCCAAGTCCATTGTGTTCATGGTGGCTCCGCAGAGCTCTCCAAAAGGAGTGCTTGAAGAAATTCAACTCTTTTTTGAAACTGCCGTGCCACAGAGTCGGAGTAGCTGAGACCGTGGAGGCAAGGACTAGCATGTCCTCATACTGTCATGAACTGTACTCCTGGTGGTGAGTAATGTTCATAGGACTCTTATATGGAGGCCAAATTTGATTGGAAGGACTTCATTCAGAGACTGGTTATGTTAATTCTAAAAGAAATAAGTGTATATGTTTATATTATATACATATTTTAAAGTTTATTTATTTTGAGGTGGGGGAAGGGTAGAGAGACAGGAGAGGGAGAATCCCAAGCAGGCTCCTTGCTGTTTGTTAGTGCAGAGCCTGATGTGAGCCTCGATCTCATAAACTGTGAGATCATGACCTGAGCCGAAATTAAGAGTCAGATGCTTAACCAACTGAGCCACCCAGGTAACCCTCTAAAATCTGTATTTTATTCATTTGTGTGTTTGTGTATTTCCGAGTTTGCAATTTCACTTGTTATTTCATGGGAAGTTTCATGGCATTTCTACTTTCCTAGAAGGTGATGCTGAAGAAGATTTTGTAGAAGAGAGTCTTTTTGGAAAAAAATGTTGCTCTTCAGAAGTCTCTTTATCACATTGTTTATTGTCAGTATGACTCAGTATGTATTTATATATTTTAATAATTTCTACATGTCCTGTCTATTTCACTGACATTCAATTCATACTTTCCCATTTTCAGTCCTGCACAGATGAAAAGACACAAGTTAGGTGTCGGGCCCCAGCTTGGCTTCGGCGTCTATGTGGGCAGCTGCTCTCCGAAAGGTTGATGAAACCCAGTGGTGTTCAGGCAGTAGTCCGGGGCATTCTGGAAGGAGCAGGTGGTAAGAAATAAAATGCTTCTGTTACTTTGGTATCCAGTTTCCTTTGAGTCAGGGTGAGTTATTGGTCTTTAGCATTGGACTATAAAACCTGATTCAGACTGAGATGCCTTTGTAGAGACTAAAGAGGTTAGATTTGGAGATTAAACCTTAATGAGCTTCTTTATCACAGAAACTCATTTTCTTGCCATTTTTCTAAAACAGACTATTTCTCTAAAATAGACTGTTGACATTCTTGAATAATATTGTTGGCTGTTTCAAATAACTTCTAATATCAGGGGAAAATATTGTGCAGAACGTTAAAGTAAAACCCAAAAGCAAATGTGAAATTCTCCATGGGAAAGGGCTTTGTGCCAGGGTGCTATGAGTACTTCACCTCAGGACTTAAAATCCAAGACAGTTCTCTGTAGCTGGAAAGACCTTATGGAAGTTTACTGTGGGATGAAGTTGTAGATTATTTCCCCATTTATATTCTCTAAGTCCTCGTGAATAGAAAAATGTTGATTATCATGCTAAGCATGGTAGTAGTTTTTAATTTATATATTGAAAAAAAATTTTTAACAGTTTATTTATTTTGAGAGAGAGAGAGCATGCACGAGCAGAGGAGGGGCAGAGAGAGAGGAGAGAGAGAATCCTAAGCAGGCTCCGTACTGCCAGTGCAGAACCCAACTTGGGGTTCGATCTCACGAATTGTGAGATCAAGACCTGAGCCGAAATCAAGAGTTGGGTGCTTAACTGACTGAGCCACCTAGACACCCTATATTTATTTTATTTTATTTTTTAAATGTTTATTTATTTTTGAGACAGAGACAGAGCATGAACGGGGGAGGGTCAGAGAGAGGGAGACACAGAATCTGAAGCAGGCTGCAGGCTCTGAGCTGTCAGCACAGAGCCCGACGTGGGGCTCGAACTGACAGACCGCGAGATCATGACCTGAGCTGAAGTTGTACACTCAACCGACTGAGCCACCCAGGTGCCCCAGGCACCCTATATTTTTATTTATTTATTTATTTATTTTTAAATTTTTTTTTTCAACGTTTATTTATTTTTGGGACAGAGAGAGACAGAGCATGAACGGGGGAGGGGCAGAGAGAGAGGGAGACACAGAATCGGAAACAGGCTCCAGGCTCCGAGCCATCAGCCCAGAGCCCGACGCGGGGCTCGAACTCACGGACCGTGAGATCGTGACCTGGCTGAAGTCGGACGCTTAACCGACTGCGCCACCCAGGCGCCCCAACACCCTATATTTTTAAATACGTAGTTTAAAGAGTCAAATTGGTCTACAAGGCTAATGGAGAAAAATAGCGTCAGTCCTTGGGAACATTCCTGTCCATTTCCCTGCCTCAGAAGCAAGCATTTTGACTTCTTTTAGTGAGTTTGTTCTGGTCTTTACCGTTAAGGTGTTTGCAGAACCTTTTTAATGTTTGAGTTTTAGGCTTCATCTATCAACTTCTCACCATGTGTGGAAGAGGATTTTGTTCTCTTTCAAAACCCTACCACCACCACCCCCAGGCATACTCCCATCTCCTAAATATTCATGTCTTAATTTTGGTGAGATCGATAGTTGGGGTTTGTATTCTTCTAACTATGTCATTACTATTTACAGCTGGGCTCTGTGGTATGCCATGACTACTTTTCTTTTTAAATTTTTAAAATTTTTTAATTTTAGTTTTTTTGAGAGAGAGTGCACACACATGCACATGGGGAGGGACAGAGGGAGAGGGAGGGAGAGATTCTTAAGCAGGCTCCACGCCTAGCATGGAGCCCTACGAGGGGCTCGATCTCACCACCATGAGATCATGACCTGAGCCAAAATAAAGAGTAGGACACTTAACCAACTGAGCCACCCAGGCACCCCACTACTTTTCTTTTTTACACAACTTTTGTACTTCTTGCAGTTAAATACCATAATTGTTTGTCTGCTTAGTGTTTCATTTATGTCTCACTAATCTGTTTTCAAATTCCCTTCCAGTTGTGTAAGTCTCCTTTCAAGATGTTCAAATACACCTGATATTCTATTGGTTTGATCTTCTTGGAGACATCTCTCTCTGAGTCTTCTCTAATCTGGGCTAGTTATCTTTCACATAGCAGACATGCTAGGATCTCCCTCCACCTTTATCCTGGTGATTCCTTTGCCTTTCTTTTGTGCTTAGTCCCTTATCTCGCGTATCCCATGCACATTTGTTTCCTATCGCTGATGTGACAATTTACCACACACTTAGTGCCTTTTTGATGGAAATGACATTTAAGCTGAACCCTGAAGACTGAGTAGGACTTTATTAAAGAGTGAGATGGGGCGCCTGGGTGGCTTGGTCGGTTAAGTGTCCGACTTCAGCTCAGGTCATGATCTCACGGTCCATGAGTTCGAGCCCCACGTCGGGCTCTGTGCTGACAGCTCAGAGCCTGGAGCCTGTTTCAGATTCTGTGTCTCCCACTCTCTCTGCTCCTCCCCTGTTCATGCTCTGTCTCTCTCTGTCTCAAAAATAAATAAACGTTAAAAAAAAAATTAAAAAAAAAAAGTGAGAGAAGAGTAACAGGCGGGGAGAATAGCACATATGAAGAAACTGATGTAAGAAAAAGCATAGTGTTTTTGAGGAGGCTTCAGTGTGGGTAGAGCATTGATCTTTATTCTGAGTGCAACGAGAAACCATTGGAAGGTTTTACAAAGGAGAGAGGCATGATCAAATCTACGTTTTAGATGTATTGTGAAGAATAGGATGGGTAAGAGCAGAACCAGGAAGATCAGGTAAGAAGCGTCATCTGAGAGATCGCGGTGGCTTGGATCAATGCAGTGGCAGTAGAAATGGAGAGAATGAATGACTGTAAGAGGTATTTATGAAGTAGCATTGCCAGAACTTAATGAAGGACTGGATGTGTGAGGAGGGAAGAAGAGAGACAGAAGAATCAGTCTCGACAGTGCATTTCTAGTATGGTAAATGTACGTTGGTCCTGTCAGACAAAGGTGAGGTCAGAGTGGCTGGCAGACATTGATAGATTTGGTCTAGAGTGCCTGTAATGTTGCCTCTCCAGTTCTGCTGGCATTGGCTTCTAGGGGCAATGAAGTGAAAAATTATCAGTTACTTGCGAGAAGTTGCCACATGCAAATAGGTCCTTGCATCCTTTTTTCCAAAGAAAAGTTCGAGTTCACCCAAGGCCATGCAAATTGGAGAGCTGCTCTAAGACACTTAGAACCCTATTTTTGCTATGAGCTTTTTTCCCCTCTGCTTATGCTTGTATATATTTTTTGTTATCTATTTAAATCTTGTTTCTTCTCAAAACCGATTTGAAGCAGTTTATATTTACTCACACATTTGCCATTTCTGATGTTCTTCATTTCTTTGTGTAGATCCGAATTTTAATTCAAATTTCCTTCTGCCTGAAGAACTTTAGCATTTTTTGTAGTGCAGATCTGCTGACAGTGAATTCCTGAAAAAGTCTTTATTTCACCTTCCTTTTTGAAAATGTTTTTGGTGTCATCATTGTCTCTGTTCTTTATAGGATATATCTTTTTTCCTCTGGTTGCTTTTAAGCTTTTTCTCCTTGTCACTGGTTTTTAGATATTTGATTACGATATTCCTTGGTGTGGGTGATTTTTATCATGTTTCTTCTGCTTCATGTTTCTTGGGCTTATTAGAGGTGAGAATTTATAGTTTTCGTCATATTTGGAAGTTTCTCAGACATTTTCTTCCAATATGTTTTTCTATCCTCTCTTCTCTCTTTTTCTTTTTAACTTTTTTTAAAAGTAAACCCTAACCCCTAACATGGAGCTTAAACTCATGACCCCAGAGATTAAGAGTCACATGCTGTACTAACTGAGCCAACCAGGTGGCCCTCTTTTTGGAATTTGAGTTATACCTAATATTATACTATAATGTGTCCTACAAGTTACTGATGCTCTATTTTTTCTTTTTGTTTTTTTTGTTTGTTTGTTTTTGTTTTTCAGTTTTCTTTCTGTATAATTTTGGTTAATTTCTATTGCTTTGTGTTCAGCTTTACTGATATTTTCTTTTGTAGGGTCTAATCTGCTGTTAATCCCATCCAGTGAGTTTTTCATTACAGATTTTTTTTTTTTTAAGTTTATTCATTCTGAGAGAGAGAGAGAGAGAGAGAGAGTACAGGTAAGGGCAGAGAGAGAGGAGAGAGAGAATCCCAATCAGGCTCTGCACTGTGCTGTTAGCACAGAGCCCAGCATGGGGCTTGAATCCACGAACCGTGAGATCATGACCTGAGCCAAAATCAAGAGTTGGAGGCTTAACCGAATGAGCCACCCAGGTACCCCGTATTTTCTTTTTCATTAATAGAGGTTCAATATTAGTCTTTTTAAATATCTTCCATTTATTTCATCATCATGATCATTCTTTACCTTTTTGAAAATAGGGAATGCATTTATACTAGCTGTTTTAGTGTTTTTGTTTCCTAATGTTGTCATCTCTGTTTTAATGGGTCTGTTTCTATGATAGGTCCTCCGATTATGGTTCATACTTTCTTGCTTCTTTGCAGGCCTGCTAATTTTTTATTATTGAGATGTTATTCACATACCATAAATACACTTTTTTAAAGAGTACATGTCAGTGTTTTTTAGTATATTCACAAAGTTGTACAATCATTATGAAAATATAATTCCAAAACATTTGCACCATCTTCCTCCCCGCAAAACCTTATGCTCATTAGTAATCACTCCCCATTCTTTCCTCCTCCAGCCCCTTGTAAGCACTGATCTAGTTTCTGTCTCAGTGGATCTGCCTATTTTGGATATTTCATCCAAATGGAATCATGCAATATGTGCTCTTTTTTGTTGGACTTCTTTCAGTTAGCATAACATTTTTGAGGTTTATCCATATTGTAGCAGGAACAGTCTTTTATTCCTTTTTATGGCTGAATAATATTCCATTGTATGCATATGCCTGGAAATTCTTGAATGGATATTGGAAATTTATTTTATGTTGTTGGTTGCTAGATATTGTTGTATTTCTTTGTTAGGCTATATGCTGGGATGCAGTTGATTTTCTTAGGATCAGTTTGATCCTTTTGATCCTGGCTTTTAAGCTTTGTTACTGTGGGTCTAGAGTAGCCTTTAATCTGAAGTAATTTGGCTGCACTCCTGAGGCATAACCATTCTGAGATTTTACTTGATGCTCTGCATATTTGGAGGCCTTTCCATGCTCACTAGTGGGAACGATATTACACAGAAAGAAAAGAGAACTGAAACAAACAAACAAACAAACAAACCCCCAAAATAGAGCATCAGCCCTGTGTGAACTCAAGGGATTTTCCCCCTACTTCTTATTGGTGGTTCTTGCCCCAGCCTTGTTTTGTTTTGTTTTGTTTTGTTTTTTGCACATATGCATAGGTTATAGTCTGCCAAAGGTTTGAAAGAGGACTCCTGTGCAGATCTTTGGAGCTCTCTCTTTACATACCTCCCTTCTGGTATTTTATCCTGAAAATTCTACCTGCCTTGGCCTTCCTAAACTGGGGACTCTAAACTAGGTTTCTTTAACTCAAGATGCCAGACTTTGTTTCGGCTCTGCCTTCCTGTACTGAGACCTTAAAATTTTCTCTAGATAGTAGGCTAGGATATTCATGGGGCTCACCTTGTTTGTTTTTTTCTCTCAGGGGTCAGTGTCCTGGGTCGCCTGTTGTCCAGTGTCTGAAAACCGTTGTTTATATATTTTGTCCAGTTTTCCAATAATTTAAGGTGGTAAGGTAAATCTGGTACCTGTTACTGCATAGCTTTGGTTTAAGGCAGTTTTATTGACATGATGCATATAAAGAGACATCATATCATCATTATCAAATAATAATAATAAAAGTAATAAGCACTGAGAGGAAGCTAGTATTCAAATTATGTGGACAATAACATTATCGTGATTAAGCTGCTACTTTTTCCTCTTAACTTTGCAGAAAGCAACATCGAAAGGAAAATGCAGAGGGGTAGATTATCTTATGAAAGAAATAAACAGTTTTCAGTAGAGAAAAAACACTTTTACGCCAGAATTTTAAGGACCACATATGGGGAACTAGTAATGACTTTTTGACATCTCTGTCCATCTCTGACAGCTGGGGCGGCTGGCGGGAGTGATGCAGAGGCAATGGCTGCTGACTGGAAGAAGTGTGACTTGATTGCAAAGATCCTGGCCTCTTGTCCCCAGCAGTCTCTTTCACCAGAGGATTACTATCGAGATATCTGCCCCCAGGTAAACAGTTTTGTTTCTTTTCACTGTTGGAGGATTATCTGCTTATTCATGGAAATGACATTTAATGTTTCTCTAACGTGGAGGTGAAAGCAATGTAATATTTAAGTTTATTGTTCAGTGAGGGGCCTTGCTTTTTTTTTTTTTTAATGTTGATTTATTTATTTTGAGAGAGAAAGAGAATGAGTGGGGGGAGAGGGGCAAAGGGAGAGAATCTTAAGCAGGGCTCCATGCTCAGCACAGAGCCCGACATGGGGCTCAATTATAACCTGGGATCATGACCTGAGCCGAAATCAAGAGTCGGACACTCAAGGGACTGAGCCACCCAGGCGCCCCATCTAGTGTGGAGGTGAAAGAAATATAATATTTAAGTTTATTGTTCAGTGAGGGGCCTCGTGAATTAAGTGAATAAACACCTGTGAAAGAGACCCGCCTAATTGTTAGGTTTAAGAATGCCTCACCATTGTTAAATGAGTAGTTTAGCTTGCTCTCAGAGCTGGAATATGAAACTAAAATTTCATTGTGTTCATTATCTTTTCTGTGTGGTTTTAGTTTAAAAAAAAAACTGGTATTAAGTAAACACGGTAAATTAACATGGTATACAGTTTAAAAAGCACATAAGAGTAAACAGAAAAACAAATCTTCCTCTCATCTGTTTTCTAGTCCCTCAGAGGTAGTCACTCTTACCAATTTCTTGTTTATTTTTCAGTGATATTCTGTGTATTAATGTATATACAATTATGTGTCTATGTACGTATATATATTCTAATTTTTATCCAAATGATAGCATGCTACACATAGTTTTTAATTTTGCTTCTTTTTAAAAAAATTTTTTTAACATTTTTTATTCATTTTTTTTTTGAGAGAGAGAGAGAGAGAGACAGAGCGCAAGCAGGTAAGGGGCAGAGAGAGAGAGAGGGAGACACAGAATCCGAAGCAGCCTCCAGGCTCTGAGCTGTCAGCACAGATCCGATGAGGGGCTCGAACCCACAAACTGCGAGATCAAGACTTAAGCTGAAGTTAGATGCTTAATCTACTGAGCCACCCAGGCACCCCTTCGTTTTGCTTCTTAACATTGTACCTTGGAGAGGGGCGCCTAGGTGGCTCAGTCAGTTAGGCATCTGACTTCAGCTCAGGTCATGATCTGTCAGTTCATGGGTTTGAGCCCCACATTGGGGTCTCTGTTGTCAGCACAGAGTCTGCTTCAGATCCTCTGTCTCCCTCTCTCTCTGTCCCTCCCCTGCTCTTGCAAGCGCTAGCACTCTCTCTCTCTCTCAAAAATGAATAAACATTAAACAAAATTAAAAACAAAACACCCCCAATGTACTTAGGAGATAATTTCCTACTGAGTTGCCTCATTCTGTTCATGGGTACATAGTATTTCACCATATTAATGTACCATAATTTATTTAACCAGCCTCCTATTAATGGACGTTGAGTTGTTTCCATTCTTTTGCTACTACCAACCATGCTACAGTTAATATCTATAGATTTTTTTTACACATGCAAATATTGCCATAGGAAAAATCCCTAGAATTAAGGGTATGTGCATTTAAATTTTTGACTGATATTGTTTATGTATCTGTTTTCCCACACCTTTGCTTACCCAATGTGTTACAAGAATTTCCTTTTTTTTGCTAATCTTATATATGGAAAATGTGGAAGGAGTTTGCTTAATCAGTATTCCCCACACCTTTTGGAGTGAAGGTCATTCAGTTGTCATACTTATCTTAAGGGTTCTCATGGGTAGGCATGCATGAGAACAAAATATCACAATGCAAAGATCTTATATTGAAAAATACTAAATATAAATCTTCCTACAGAAAAAAGTTAGCATTTGCAATGATGAGTAAGTATTTTCTGAATCTAGTAGTTACAGTTTTGGTTCATAACAAAATGATGAAACAAGTCACAGGTTTCACGCGTGCGGAGTCTCTCTCTGGAACTGTCAAAGGTCACATACAATTTTTGGACAGAAGATACTCCTGTCTGCAAAAAAGTGCAAGACTCACTTTTAAGTCAGGAAGAGAAATGCACGTTTTATTGGCTGTTTATACTAGGGTGAACCACTTATAGGCACAGGAGATCTATGTTTATCTTTGAGAATAAAATAGACTCCTTTCTGGGATAGTTCAGGCATGACAGGCTCTTCAGATCCTAAATATATTTATATGCCTCGATCCAAAAATTTCATTTGGTCATGCTACTTATAATAGCAAAAAAAAATTTTTTTTAAGTTTTTTATTTTAATTCCAGTGTAGTTAACATACAGTGTTATAGTAGTTTTAGGTGTACTATGATAGCAAAATTTTGAGAGAAAACTCAATGTCTGGATATTAGGGAATAATTTAATAAATTCTTACATACAGCTTAAATATAATATTTTTGAGGAATTTACAATATGAGAAGATTTCAATAATATGTAAAACTGAATATTAAGTGAGGTCTTAATAATTAAAAAGAAAAAAATTATACAGAAATATCCCGGCAAAAATATCCCAGCATAAATGTTTTAGTGATTTAGGATGATTTTTCTTCCTAAAACTTTATTTTGTAAATTTTCTATAACGAACATCTATTTTATAAATTTGATAACATTATTTAGTAGAAGCATGGCCTCTTCGGTTCTCACACCGCTGATACTGGGTTGTTAAATTAAAAAAAAAATTCTGTTGAATCAGTATTATTGCAGTAAGTTTGTTTTTTGGCTTAAAGAAATACCGCTTTCTCTTTATTTAAATGTAATAGTCCTTGCAAAGAGTCTTGTATTTACCTTTATGTGCTTTTTCTCGTAGATTCTAGATTTATTTCACTTTCAAGATAAATTGACAGCGCGACAGTTTCAGAGAGTTGCCACCACTACCTTTATAACCATGTCGAGAGAACGCCCACAATTGGCTTCGAAGTATTTGCTTGAACCGGTGCTAGCCCCCCTCCACCGATGTTTAAACACCGCAGGTAAAGGAAGAAGTCTGGTGGCTGTGTTCCTCTCAGGGATCTTCCTCAGTGTTTCAGATTTCAGTGACTGAAGTCTGTCATACTTCCTTGTCTCCAGTTTTGCTTTCTTTTCTCCCCAACTTTTTATTTTGAAAGATCCACCTCACGTAAATTCCAAGAAAAGTACCTTGAAGCACTCCTGTACGCTTTACCTGGATTGCCCAGCTGCTCATATTCTGGCCACATTCGCTTTTATCTTTCTCTCTCTCTCTCTCTCTCTCTCTCTCTCTCTTTATTTATTTATTTATTTATTTATTTATTTATTTACGTTTATTTATTTTTGGGACAGAGAGAGACAGAGCATGAATGGGGGAGGGGCAGAGAGAGAGGGAGACACAGAATCTGAAACGGGCTCCAGGCTCTGAGCCGTCAGCACAGAGCCCGACGCGGGGCTCGAATTCATGGACCGCGAGATCGTGACCTGAGCTGAAGTCAGACGCTCGACCGACTGAGCCACCCAGGCGCCCCTCTCTCTTTTTATAACATGTACATCAGCGCTTGTTAGTTGCAGACGTCATTTGATATACAGACTTGATTCAAATTTCTCTAATTGTCTCAAGAATTTCCTTTGTAGTTATTTTTTCGTTTAAGTCTAGATTCTAGTGAAGATTCCTGCATTGCGTTTACTTATATCTTTTTAGTTTCCATTAATGTAGAATAGTTCCCTAGCCTTTTGTTTGTTTTTCACCATGATGTTTTTTTCCCCAGATGAATGCACTTCCTTTATCAAGAGTGACAAACTGAAACAAAACCGTAAAACCCCAAACATGTAGAAACCCAAGGTGTTAGAAGGACAAACTCAATTCATTGAAATTCAAGCTCATCTGGACCCTGGTCACAAAACTTAGTGAGGTGCATGTAAACACCAAGTTAGGGAGAGGACAGGAGTGAGGCCAAGAGAAAGGGTGTGAAGGGGGCCCCCATAGGTTCCCTAGGGATCACCCTCAAAGTGGTACCTCCACCTTCCCAGAGATAGTGAAGACCTACCGGGCCCTAACCTTTTGACCACACCAACCCCTGGCCAGGGTGTTTAAGGCCAGTCCCAAATGATTCTACCCTCCCTTGCTCCATCCTCACTTGCTCAGGCTTTCAACCTCACTCTTCTTCTCCTCTATACTTTTCTCTGTGAATAGTAGTAAGTTAGGGTATTGTTTGAGTCATAGTGAGGCTGGGAGCCAAGGGAGACAGGGTGGAGACGAGGTGAAGAGAGGAAAAAAAGGTCTGTCCAAAGATCCCTCTCTTCATGGGATCCCAAAGTGTACATCCAGCTCCTCTTTTTAAAAAAAAATGTTTCTTTAATGTTTATTTATTTTGAGAGAGAGAGAGAGCGTGAGCAGGGGAGGGGCAGAGAGAGGGAGAGAGAGAATCCCAAGCAGGCTCCGTTAGTGCACAGGCCGACTCAGGGCTCAAACTCACAAACCGTGAGATCATGACCTGAACTGAAATAAAGAGTCGGATGCTCAACTGACTGAGCCCCCCAGGCGCCCCCCATCTCCTCTTTTGCAACCACTCAGATCTGAGAAAGTGCACTGTAGGCACCAGCAGCTGTAAGTCGGAGAAGGGATGAGCTCGCCGGCCGGCACTTGGTGGGGCTGGGTGGCGTGAGAGGACAGCGGCAGCTGCATTTTCCCGCGTGTCAGGCTGCTGCTCAGCACAGCCAGGTGGGCGCTGAACTGCCTGCCAGCTGCATGTGCTGGTGCTGCTGTTCGCCCTGGGAGGCCCCGGGAGCCCTCAGCAGGCTCGGTGATGTTGCCGGCTGTGTTAGCTGGGACGGAAGAGAGCGGGGCCCGCTCGTCAGTGTGAGCGGAAGGCAGGCTGTGGGAACTGGGTTCAGCTCCGTCGGGGGCTTGGGCAGGGGGGCTGCTAGGGTCCAGCAGCAGCTTCCGCTCCTCTCCGTCCTGGTCCCAGTCCTTGTTCTCGCTGCTGTAGCGGCACCCCAGGGCTGGGGTCAGGCTGGGCGCTCAGACCACGCCGAGGAGGGAAGGCATCCATCCTTACCATGGCATTTTTGAAGAGCCTCGGTTACAAAACGTTCTGCAATTTGTATTTGTCTAATTGTTTCCTCATGATTAGATCCAGGGTAAACATTTCAGCAGCAATATTCCATAGGATGACTATTTTTTCTCAGTCTCCATTAGATTAGGGGGCACACGTAATCAGTTTATCCCATTCTGGTGATATTAAATTTGATCATTTCATTAGTAGCCTGATTTCTCCATTGTTAACATATCTTTCTCTGTAATTAATAAGTAATCTGTGGGATGATAGTCTGAGACTGTGTGCCCTGTTTCCTGTTAAGTCTTTCATGCTGTGGTTTGGTATCCATTGATGATTCTTGCCAGTAAAATGGTTCCTTTCTTTGTTATTTTAATTTGTTAGGTTGCTATTCTTCTATAAAGAAGAGCTTTTCTTTCTCCTTGCCTCATCCCTTTTTTTAAGCTTTTTTTTTAAGATTTTATTCAGTGAGTTACCCAACATTCTTGTCATTCATTTTTTTAAAATTTATTTATTTATTTTGAGAGACAGTGCATGCACAAGAGCAGGGGCGGGGCAGAGAGAGAGGGAGAGAGAGAATCCCAAGCAGGCTCTGCGCTGTCACTGCAAACCAGCGAGATCATGACCTAGGTCAAAGTCCAGAGTCGGCCACTTAACCGACTGAGCCACCCAGCCTCCCCTCTTACCATTCATTTTGATGCTCAGATTTTCCCACATTTGGCTGGTGGGTTTAGTTCTGTTTTAATGTCTTAGAAGATTGACATTGCACCAACTCATCACCTGCCTTAGTATGTTTTTATACTTTACTGAATTTTTCCCCCACAGTTTACTGAATTTAATGCTTGGATGCAGAATATTATTTCAACATTCTTTGTTAAAAAAAAAAAAAACCAAACAAAACAAAAAACCTTTCTAGATAGTAGTTCCTAAGGTTTTAAATGAAGAAAAAGTTTGATGTTATGGTTAAACCAAATTTAGTTCTATGTAGACTTTTTTAAGAAGTCATCTGTAGTAAACATTTCCTGGGTGTGTGTAGTGGGGGTGAGGTGGGCAGGGATAAAGAAAGTCTAATTTTTGTGCATAGTAAAACTTCACCAAATTGAACCTGGTGAAGTGAAATTTTTGATTATTCAGATGTGATAAACGTTATATATATATATATACATGTATACACATGTATATATATATATATATTTATTTTATTTTTTTATTTTTTTATTTTTTTGGTGTCCATGGATCGGCCTGAACTAAACGTGGTATTTGAGTAAATAGTTTAAATTTCTTTACATATTTGATAGAAACCTAGTCTAGATCCAGTATATGCTTCAATAAATCGCTCAAGGGGTGCCTCAGTCAGTGGAGTGTCCAACCCTTGATTTCGGCTCAGGTCATGATCCCAGGGTTGTGGGATTGAGTCCTGCCTTGCGCTCTGCACTAAGTGTGAGGCCTGCTTGGGATTCTCTCTCTGTCTCCCTTTGTCCCTCTCCCCTTCTTGCGTGCTCTCTCTCTAACTTCATGTATTAAGAGTATACCTCATTACTAATCTATTCTCTTGTCTAATACCTAATCTATGAATTAGGTATTGTAGTCTGACGCAGTGATCCTCATAGTGTGGCCCCAGGACCAGCAACATCAGCATCACCTGGTAATTTATTGGAAATGCAACTTCTTGGGCTCTCCTCAGACCTACTGAATCAGAAATGCTGGTGTGGGTCCCAACAATCTGTGTTTTAACAGGCCCTTCTGGGTAATTCAGGTGTGTGTTCAAGTTTGAACACTGGTCTAAGAGCACTGTTCTTAGGATAAGTAGATCCATTCCATTTGTGGATCAATTATTATTGTCCTGGACATTGTTCATTCCTATTGGGCATCTATTTGCCAGACATTTCTTCATAGGTTAGGTTATATTCGTAACACCAGCTACATGTTTTGCATTGACAGTGTCTGGATAACAAAAAGGGTGTATGATAGTCTGACTGGTTTTATATAGACAGCCTCATCATTGCCACTGGGGGAAAAAAAACCCCTAAAATATAGGCTTTCTTATTTTGTTTTTCATATTGTATCACGTTTTTAAGACTATGTGACAATTATGATAAATTACCATATTTTATCAATTCTAAGGTGCACATGTTTTTAACATAAAAAAGCTTTAATTTTGGGGGGTCTTCTGGCTGGCTCAGTCAGTAGAGCATCCAACTCTTGATCCCAGGGCTGTGAGTTCAAGCCCCACATTGGGCATGGAGCCTACTTAAAAAACAAACAAAAAAAAAAAAACCCCAAAACAAAAAACTTGAATTTTGGAAATATTTTTCACATTTTAACAATTCTGATATCGAGATGTATCTCACAATTATTGTTGGCCAGGTAGCAATCATGGCATTATCTGTGCCTGCAAATGAGCATTAAAACTCATAGAATGGATGTCAGAGACTTAGGAAAAAACTGTGAAGACAACAGTAGAGTGGTGACCTTTTTTTTTTTTTTTTTAAGAAAATGTTTATATTTATTTTTGAGAGAAAGAGAGAGACAGAACATGAGCGGGGGAGAGGCAGAGAAAAGGAGACACAGAATCTGAAGCTGTCAGCACACAGCCTGATGTGAGGCTTGAACCCATGAACCATGAGATCATGACCTGAGCTGAAGTCAGACACCTAACTGACTGAGCCACCCAGGTTCCCCTAGAGTGGTGAACCTTTAAGAAATTTCACATCAGGGACACTTGGGTGGCTCAGTTGGTTAAGCGTCCAACTCTTCGTTTCAGCTCAGATCATGATCTCACGGTTGGTGAGTTCAAGCCCCACATTGGGATCCGTGCTGTCAGCACAGAATCTGCTTAGGATTCTCTCTTTCTCCCCTCTCTCTGCCCCTCCCCAACTCATTCTTTCAAAAATAAATACAGTTTAAAAAAAAAAAGAAATTTCACATCACCTACACTCTTGGTGGCACAGAGTTCAGTATATTATGGCAATATGTGGATATCAGTAATGGTGTCGAAATGTTTCAGAAGAGTTGGACTTTTTAAATGTGAAGTGTTCAGAATTTCTTATTCTGTTTATCCCAATTATATAGCTTATGTAAGGAATGATATTTAATAAAATTGTATGTCTAAATAAATCTAAAAGAGCTCTCAATACTTTTCTTATTAAGTTTTTAAGTCTTAATTCCATATAGCTAACATGCAGTATTTTATTAGTTTTGGGTGTACAAATACTGATTGAACAATTCTATACATTATTCAGTGCTGATCACAATAAGTGTACTATTTAATCACCATCATGTATTTCACACATTCCCCAGTGACCTCCCCTCTTTTAATCCTTTTTATAAAATCTATTTTAAAACTTTTTTTTAACATTTTATTTTTGAGTAACCTGTACACACAACACAGGGCTTGCCGAACTCACAACCCAACGATGAAGAGTCCTATGCTCCACCAACTGAGCCAGCCAGGCACCCTGTTTTCACCTCCACATAACCATTGACTGTCATTTTCATTTAATTTAATCCCTAATTTTTCATTCATTAAATTTACAAGTAAAATTTCAAGTCATAATATTTCATAAGTTACTTGCTTTCTTCTTTCTTGTGATATATAAAATAACAACGAATGTTTATAATCATTGGCATCATAGATTTCATGAAATACTGTATTTGGTGTTGTATTGTACATAGGTAATCATGTTGAATCTCTAATTGTAGGTGTTACTTACAGAACTATCTAGCAACACTTTCTTCCTTAAGTCCTGAGCTCTATTCAATGAGGCACTGAATATGGGTAATTTTGTTTTTTGTTCTCTAGAGATTCCAGAGAGTGGCATGGCTCCAGGGACCATTTTGGTAACAGAAGAGGAACTTAGTAGATGTATTGAGGATGTATTTAAGGTTGGTAATTTGAGTCACTAATGTTTCTAGATAACATTTACACATAGTCTTTTAAAATAGTTTTGCTTTTCTGGGGTGCCTGGGTGTCTCAGTTGGTTAAGCCTCCAACTTCGGCCCAGGTCATGATCTGGCAGTTTGTGGGTTTGAGCCCCGCGTCAGGCTCTGTGCTGACAGCTCAGATCCTGGAGCCTGCTTCAGATTCTGTGTCTCCCTCTCTCCCTACCCCTCCGCTGCTCACACTCTGTCTCTCTGTGTCTCTCAAAAATAATAAATAAACATTAAAAAAATGTTAATTCCAAACTATCATGATTTTTTCACTTTGAAAACTGGAAAATATAAGCTGTTAGTAAAAAAGCTGATACGTTTTGAAACTGTCAATTTCATCATTTACTCTGAATGTTAAACAGTTTAGATTCTCTAACTGGCACATACCACTGATGAAAGCATGTCTTTTGAAGAAATTGACAGTGGCATTTGCAGTGCTATAGGCTTCCAAAAGTGTATGAGAATATTGAGTCTACTTTATATCTTTCTAAAGTAATCACCGTCGTATACAAGTAAGTCTGAATAAGTGAATCTTGCAAATGACTACCTAAATATATTACTGACAGTGAAAAAAAAATGTATGTTCTCTATGATTACAGTCTTATAAATATATATGAAACATATATTTTTAGACAAAAAAATGAAATCCATTGCGTTAGGGCCAGATGGAGCTGGGATAAATATTCTTTCTTAAGGTTTATTTCAATAAATTTATAATAGTATTTTACTATGAAAAATATCCACGCTAGTAAATAGCTTTCAAAATTATTTTCCATATAAAAAGGTCCAGCTGCTTTGGAAAATAATTTGGCAGTTCCTCAAAACATTAAACATGGAATTACTATTTGACACAGTAATTCCATTCTTAGGTATATACCTAAGAGAAATGAGAACATGTTCAGACAAAAATCTGTGCACAAATGTTCATCACGGCATTGTTCATAATAGCCCAAACGTGGAAGTCACCCAAATGTTTATCAACTGATAAATAGATACACAAATGTGATATATGCATATAACGGAATATTTTTTAGCCATAAAAATGAATGAAGTATGGACACATGCCACAACGCAAACATTTAAAAGTAACAAATTTTAAACTTTAATAGAAACCAGAAAAAAAAAGACCACATGTTGTATGATTCCATTTATGTAGAATATTAAGACTGGGCAAATTCATAGAGACAGAAAGTAGATTAGTGGTTGCTAGGGGCTGGAGCTGGGGAGTTAGGAGTGTCTGCTAATGGGTATGGGATTTCTTTGTGAGGTAAGGAAAATGTTTTGGAATTAGACACTGGTGATAGTTATACAGTTTTGTGAATATACTAAAAGCCACGTGTACATTTTAAGAGTGAATTTTTTTTAATGTTTATTTATTTTTGAGAGAGAGACAGAGTATGAGCAGGGGACGGGCAGAGAGAGACGGAGACACAGAATCAGAAGCAGGTTCTAAGCTCTGAGCTGTGAGCACAGAGCCTGATGTGGGGCTTGAACTCACGAACCATGAGATCATGACCTGAGCTGAAGTTGGATGCTTAACCAACTGAGCCACCCAGACACCCCTTAAGAATGAATTTTATGGCATGTAAATTACTTATCAATAATTTTAAAAATTATACTCCACATTTCTCATTTCTTTTCTATGGCAATAAGTTAAGCATTTTAGAGAAAGTGTTTAGTTTTTTATGAAATAATTCAAACAGATAAAAAATGCAGAGTAAAACACTCATGTACCCACCACTCAGCTTAAGAAATTAAACATTACCAGTTCAGTTGAAATCTATCTACCTATCCCTGGTGACATTTCCATGGCTTCCCATCTAAAGGTACACTGTGGTTTTAGTTAACAGTTAGTTCTCTTATTACTAGTGAGTTGAACATCTTTTCATGTTCTAGGTTTATTCATATTTTTTCTTCTGTAAACTGCCTATTCACGTTTTGTCCGTTTTAAAAATTGCCTCTTCAAAAAAATTTTTTTTTCAACGTTTATTTATTTTTGGGACAGAGAGAGACAGAGCATGAACGGGGGAGGGGCAGAGAGAGAGGGAGACACAGAATCGGAAACAGGCTCCAGGCTCTGAGCCATCAGCCCAGAGCCCGACGCGGGGCTCGAACTCCCGGACCGCGAGATCGTGACCTGGCTGAAGTCGGACGCTTAACCGACTGCACCACCCAGGCGCCCCTCTTCAAAATTTTTTTAGAATAAATCTTTTTTTTTTAAGTTTATTTATTTTGAGAGTGACAGAGGCAGCATGAGTCAGAGAGAGGCAGAGAGAGAGGGAGAGAGAATTACAAGTTAGCTCCACACTGCCAGCGCAGAGCCCCACTCAGGGCTCAAACCACAAATCCACGAGATCATGATCTGAGCCGAAACCAAGAGTTGGATGCTTAACTGACTGAGCCACCAGGGCGCCTCTAGAATAAATCTTTTTTTATAAAACAACTTTATTGAGATATACTTTACAGACCATAAAATAATGTTTTAAGTATGCAAGTCAATGATTTTTAGTAAGTTTACAGAGTTGTGAAACTAATACATTACAATTTTAGAACATTTCCATTACCCTAAAAAGGTCCCTGTGCCTATTTATAGTCACTCCTTGTTCCCACCCTTAGCCCCAGGCAACCACTAATCTGTCTACCTCTATGGATTTGCCTTTATGGCTATTTCATGGGAAGGAACCATGCAACATGTGATCTTCTGTGGTGGACTTCTCTCTCTTAGTATGATGTTTTGTGTGTGTGTGTGTGGGGTGGTGTTTCCATGTTTTGTTTTTTTTCAAAGTAATCACTTTGCCCAACATGGGGCTCGAACTCATGACCCTGAGATCAAGAGTCACGGACTGTTGATCAAGTGTACCGACTGGGCCAGCCAGGCACCCTCTCTTAGTATAATGTTTTGGAGGTTTATCCAGGTTGTTGCATATATCAATATTTTGTCCCTTTTAATTGTTAAGTAATATTCCATGGTATGAATATACCACATTTGGTTTATTTGTTCATCAGTTGATGGACATTTGGCTGTAAAGTAGATCTTTCTTTCTTCAAACAGCTTTGTGAGTTGTAATTCACATACTATACAGTTTACCCATTTAAAGTGTGCAAATCAGGACACCTGTCTGGCGCAGTCAGTAGAGCATGCACCTCTTGATCTTGGGAGTTCAACTTCAAGTGCCACACTGATTGTGGAGCTTACCTTAAAAAAAAAAAAGTATGCATATCAATGGCTTTTTAGCATAATCTAAGGCTTGCATATTAGAAGTATATTCTAATACTTCATTACCCAAAAAGAAATCCCACACTATACCCAAAACCCTTTACCACCCTTTTTTCCATTCTCCCTACTCCTAACCCCTGCAACCTCCAACCCGAGTCAACCACTAATCTGCTTTCTCTTTCTATAGATTTGCCTATTCTGGACATTGCATATAAATGGAATTATACACTATATGGTCTTTTGTGATTGGCTTCTTTTACTTAGCATGATGTTTTTAAGGTTTATATTAAGCACAAAGCAGGACCTCATTCTTTTTTTTAAGATTTCTTTTATTTTTTAGTAATCTCTATACCCAACATGGGGCTCAAACTCACAACCCCAAGATCAAAAGTTTCATGCTCTACTGACTGAGCCAATCAGATGCCCCAAGACTTGATTTCTTTTTATTGCTGAATAATATCCTATTGTAGATATAGACTCTATTTTGTAATCCATTCATCCTTTGATATATATTTGGGTTGTTTTTACATTTTAGCTATTATGATTAATGCTGCTATAGACATTTGTGTACAAGTCTTTGTGCATACGTATGTTTTCATTTTCCTGGGTATATACCTAAGAGTAGAATTGCTAGAGGGGTGCCTGGGTGACTCAGTCGGTTGAGTGTCCGACTTCGGCTCAGGTCATGATCTCACGGCTCGTGAGTTCGAGCCCCGCGTCAGGCTCTGTGCTGACAGCTCGGAGCCTGGAGCCTGCTTCCAATTCTGTGTCTCCCTCTCTCTCTGCCCCTAACCCACTCGCGTTCTGTGTCTGTCTCTCTCAAAAATAAATAAACATTAAAAAAAATTTTTTTAAAAAGAGTAGAGTTGCTAGATCTTATGGTAACTCTGTGTTTAACCATTTGAAGAACTGCCAAAGTGGCTGCACCAGTTTACATTCCTACTAGCAGTATGTGACGGTATAGAGTAAACCTTAAGTCGTATTCTTTCAGATAAGAAGGCAGATGATTGGGGGGGGGGGTGGTTTTTGTTTTGTTTTTGCCTCAGCAAAGTGTTATTGATTTAAGTAATCTCTATACCCAACGTGAGGCTCAAACTCAAGACCCCAAGAATGAGAGTCACACAGTCTTCCAACTGAGCCAGCCAGGTGTCCCTGTTTTCTTTTGTTTTAAACTTAATGTATGATATTCATGATTTGTAGGTATAAAATTCACGCTTAAAAATTCAAAACTCGTTCTGTTCAACACTCAACTTTTTACTAAAGTAAGCTGTTTCATTTAATTTCACTATTAAATAAAAGGGACCTGGCATACAAATATAGCATCAGATTGTTTATAGATGAAACCTAACTTAGTGACTATAATGCTGTTTTTTTTTTAATGCCTCATTTAGAGACTTATGAAAAGAAAGTTTTTATATCCTGTTCTACATATTCATAGGTAAGGACATTTTTGATTGTAGAAAAATAAGAAATTATATAGAGCAGTGTAGAAAGCAACTGTTCTGAATTAGAGAACAAGGCCCAGCTAACTCTCAGAAAGGTTGTCTTCAGTCACACACCATCTGAGGAATATCATGATGAAAACTGTTAAGTGGTGGGTGTGGAATGTCAGAAAGGCTTGAAAGTGGTGTCAGGGGTAGAACTTAATTGTGACTACACTCTGGTACAAACCCCTCATAGTATTTCTGGGAAGTAAAAAAAAAAAAATTTGCTTTTAGAGGAAAAAGAAAGCAAATCA